GTGCACATTGGGTTGTTTGATATCCGGAATCAATAGAGAAAAGAGGGAAATAAGCAGAATAGTCCATCGTCAGACTTTTATACCACAATCACCTCACTGCTAGTTTAATCTTATATTCGTAGAAGAATGGCTGTTCCAACCATTGCAGTTCGGAATTCTCCCGAGTGGTGCACAACTTTACACGACTGAATAAAATTAATTTGATTGGTTGTTTATGAAGGTGCAGGATTGTTGTGGCGGAAGGTACGCAAGCAATTTCGGTTGCGGGCGGTTTCTCAGAAGCATTTTGCTAACCAGTTAGCAACTTAGTGCTAGTAGGTTCCCAATGGGAAATTCCATTGGGACCAAGTAGCACTAAATTGGTGACTAAGAAACAACACTGTATAGGAAAGCTATGGACAGAGGAAACATGCAAGAGGAGGAGAGTTTTGTGTCGGAGGTCATGGATGAGTCTCGTCCGTCATCCATTTTGTATTTAGAGGAGGCAAGTGGGGATGAAGATGTTGTGGAAGAGGACGCCAGGGTGGCAGAAGCTTGGTTTGGTGTTGAAGGCTTACAGCCGTCCATGTTTGAGCCCTTGCCTCGCAACGCTGCCAGTTCTGTTAGCTCTACGCCTGCTGAAGATACAGACGTCCATCCCCGTGAACACTGGGAAGGAACTCAATGAGAAAGTCATAAAGAATAAATGATTATTATTTCTTATTTCAAACGCTGCGTTTATTGGCTGCAACATATGAATCAAGATGCTACAACCTAAAAAATTTGATTGACAGATGACCGTTTATGTATGATTGACAGAATTTAGGTGTTCAGGCTGACGTAAAACTAACTGGCCCGCATAAGATGACGAAAAAAAAAACCTGGATTTTAAGACAGGATTTTTTTTTTAAATAGAAATTTTCTAAATTTTGGGACAATACCGTATGATAAAGAGAACATTTATATACATGTTTAAGCCAGAATGGTTTTACATTTAAATATGTTTTCTCTACGACTTTAAAGGTATACAGGACTATCTTTTGTTTCCGGGTGGATCATCTCGGTAAGTGTTCCTCCTAATTGTGAATCATTCTGGTGATAGGTTTACGTAAGGCCATCCTACCTGCTCATCCCGTTAGCTATCTTTTTCTGTGCAAGCGCACTTTCAGGCTTATATCTTTGGTGAGGTACAGTTTCAGCCAATTTTTGAACCTCACCTTTCTCACCTGAGTTTTTTGAAAATGGCTGAGGGTTATAAGAGAAAAAGTGTCTACAAAGTGTATGAGAAGAAAAGAAAGGCCTCAGAAGAGGCAGATATATCTCAGAATACTTTGCGTGGAGAGATCTCCTCGCAAAGCATTATGGGATTTGATGTCACTGCAACCCACTGTCGCCATAGGCTGCCACTACCCGACAGCAGCGACTAATAACTAAGATGGAAGTCATCATCTGTCCGAACGGTAAGTTGACTGAGTTCACTATAAAGTTCACTATATAGTCCCCGCTCTAAATAGGAATTGATGGATTTAGGGGTTAGGGCGGACATTCGGGCACTGTAAGCTTGTATGAGCTATGAGAACAGCAACTTTTTAAAGAGGAGAAATTAGCTTGTGCATGCTCTTGCACCCGCTTTTCTTTTTTTTTTTTTGTGGAGATGGCAGGTTTTAAAAAGAATTCGAGAAAATCCTCCAAAATACATTTAATCCCTCCAACTGCCCAAGAGCCCTTACTGTATAACTTCAACTTTACAAATAGTTAAAATAGGAAAGGATTTGTTTTTGTGCAGTTTACTAAAAACGCCACAGTGTTAATGGAGCTGGGAACGTGGCTATAAAAGTGGAGCTGCAGTACCGTACCTGTGGTTTTAAGAAATAAACATGTCGAAAGAGTTTTATTCGGACTTCAGGAAAGTGTCAATCAGTCACATATTACACCACAGCGGGCTGTTCTTACATCATCAATGCATTGGGCCAAATGGAAGATCTATCTCAAGATTTACCACTGAAATAGTGACCAGTGGCAATCTGATTTCTAAAACTTTGATTCAATATCGGACAGAAAAGATGTGTCTAGAGTTAAAAGTTCATAAATGGCTGTCACACAAGTTGATACACAAACACAGAGAATAAAGTTGTACTTCAGTGACCGTTGCAGAACGTTGCTACGCAGGTTCATCGCTTCCTTCTGGAATTTCTTAATAAGAGGAGCTAAATAACCGTGTCATGGTCCACAGCATCTCATCTTCTATGAGTTGTTTTCCTGTTACTTTTCCATGTTCTGTGCACCTTTAGAAGACCAGACAAAGAGTCGCTGTCAGCATGAACCCCCCCAACCCTGCTGTGAGACAGCAGAGAAGAGGAGCAGCTGAAGACTTTCTTCCACTCTGCAGGATCCTTACTCCCATCGCCACAGCAACATATCTTCTTCCACCTCCCAACACATTCCTTGGCCCTTCTCTCGTCTGCTCTGCTGTAATATCTGTTACTGGTTGCAGGGCTGAACAAATCAAAGCAGCTGATAGTTTACAGGAACGGCGTAGTGCTCAGTAGCGTCACCAAGAGGGCGTCTGGAACCAGACTCACAACAGGACGCCTTGACAGACCTGCTACCTAAACTGCTTTTTAGCTTTCAGCTGTGTACAGTTGGCGTTGCAGTTAATTAGGTTGCCCTTTCAGCTAAAGGCATGTTTTACATTCTCTGAACTCCAGCTAATAATTAGTCAATTATTAAACTAGATGACTATTATTTCAATAATCAATTAATCACAATTAATCCGATTATTTGTTTCAGCCCTAGAATAAACTAATAAAGCAACAATTAGAGAACTTGAGCAATACAAAGTGATGAACAAAGAAAGACAATAAAAACCAAAGACTGATCACCCAAGGATCATAACAGGCTTCTCACTAAAACTTTAAATGGTAAAATATATAATTATAACTTATATCCTAATATACCTTGGTATTACTAACCGGGCCATGCTTATATCAGGCACTGAAAATTACATAGTTAATATTGAGCTAAAAAAATCAGACATTTTTAGCGATGCTCAATATTTCCTTTTAGGCCGATATTCGATATGCCGATATTCCAAATGCTGAATTTTTGATTCCGATATAAGCCGACACCGATATAAACTAATTTCACATCATGCAAGTCAAAAAAATTTCAGCATAACCTACATTTACTGTGATGCGCCACCACCCACTGTATATCCCACAAATAATTACCATTGTAGTGGATAAAAATAGCATTTCAACTTCAGGAAAATGCAAAATTTGATATTTATTTTCAACACTGTCTCAAACAACATTTTGGAATATGCTCTTCCTGAGATTAACCTGACAATGAATATTCAAACAAAAGATAAATCTCTTTTCTTCACAAATGGGAAAAAAGTGTACCTCACCAGTACAGCTGTATTACACAGAATTGAATGTAAACACAAATGAAGTCCAGTGTAGGATCGTTGTTGAAGGGACGCATGACGAGGACCTCACATTCGTTGCAAATCGCAAACTTCAACTCATCGTTTGAAACTTTAAAAAAGTTCCACACAACAGACATTTTTCATTAAAAACAGTTTAGCTTCGCTGCTGCTACACAGCTTGCCGACTGGCGCGGTTTAATGACATCATCAGGGAGCGTCGCATGTTGACAAGAGCGCTCGCTTCAACATATTTAGCAAAATCTAGGCATTATATTATCGGCTTTTAAACATCGGGGGAAAACCCGATAAGGATGTGGACAGATATTACATAATAATGCTAATATCGGCCGATAATATCAGCCAGTCGATATTATTGGACATTTCTGGACATTTTTATTCTAATGGCAATAAGAAAGAATTTAAAACAAGTCAATAACCTGAGCCTTCTAATGGTTTGCTTATGTCTAAATAGGTGTTCTATCTTTTTAAGGCATCTCTTTAGAAAACCACCAAAGCTAATTGAATATGTATACATATTTAAACAAATTGAACAGGAGATTTTGGATGATTGTGAATATCTAGACCTGAACTTATCATCTGTTTCTTTATGCAGAGACAGAGCATGTGAACGGAGTAGAGCGCCCCGCAATTCCCGCTCCCCGCTCAGGAGGATGTTCGCTCATTCGTTTTGCCACTTGCGCCGGGAAGCTCCATGCAAAATCCACTCCGTGCTCACCTTAATTCCCCTGCTGCTCTGACTAAATCGCTACACGCTTGCTAAAATTTTCAGAAAGGCTTTTCTGACATTTTTCCTTCATGTAATTATGCCAGGGGCCTGGGTCACACTGCGTTTGATTTAATGATGTGACCGATACATGTGTATTGTCTTATTTAACTGGCTGTTAAATTATTCCCAGCTGTGAATGTAACACCTCCACTCATAATGCCCCGTGTTTCCTATTTAAATATCAATTTATCTTTTAATAAATTAATAATTAAGTGATCTTTTTTACATATAAAAAAAGGTAACTTTGCATCCCATTGCAAATGAGATAATAAGCATATAATGCATGTATGCAATCCATTTTGAAAAACAGGCTCTTATGGAAACCCACTCTGTATTGTTAAGTATAGTTAGTGTATGTTTTTAAATGATATTTAATCCCATTTTTTATCATACTTAAATCAAATAAAGGTTATTTTACAAATTTTATAATCCAACATTTTTAATTGACGTTAATCCTCGCTCCGGCCTTCAAATTGAAAGCCGCTCTGCGCTCCACCATATATCTTCAGCTCTGCTCCATGCTCTGTGCAGGGATAATATTGTTTTTGTAATTTGAAAACACTTCAGTACAACAATCCTATGTCTGTTTAAATGAAGTGACGAATATAGAATATACAAGTTCAGGGTTTTTCCATGCTCAAAGTGACAACAATGCTAAGCAGACAGTCACACTGCTTCTACAGCACTGACATGCATTTCTTAAAAAGAATATTCATTTCTGCAGCCATGTGTGTGACAGGCTCCTCTGAGCCAGATAGGTGGGTGGTGGTGTTAGGGGGTGGTCTTTTGTTTACTGTCACTCACCCTTCTTCCTGGTTTGCGAGAGGGATCTGCGAGAGCCTCGAGAGATTCTTGGCATACTCTTCCTCTATCTTTATTCTGCGAGGGATGTAGAGAAGTTGATTACAACACAGCTTTTATGCAACTTGGTTTCCATCTGCGTTTCCTCTGTTGTGCAATATAGCGACGTGCATAAATGAGCAGAAACAAACAAAACAGGAGGAAATGGTTTGCTATAATGACAGCTGCGGGGTTTTCATGGTAACGTGATAAAAATAGTGCGGGAGAAGGAGGGAAGATTAAAAAGCAGATACCTTTCTCGTATGAACTCGGCCATCTCTTTCTGCATCTGTTTACCCTTCAGCTGTTTCTGCAACAGAACCTCAAATCCAGTGATGCAACCGTTGCCCTGGGGATCCTTCCTGTCAGCCTGAAAGACAAACACAGAAAGAAATGCATTGAGGACAGAAACCAACAGGGTCAGAACTACATTGAAATGCAGTCTTTGGCGAATGTCTTCCTATGACTTTTCCATATAAAATCATGAAAGAAAGATCTTATTTTAAAGAGATTTTATGTTATAAACAAAAGGGAGAGCATAAGTAGGAGTAGTAAGGAAATTTGTACATATTTTCCTATTTTTCTGCAAATGGGAACTTCTTTAGCCCAATAAGAGTGTATATCTCATGTTATTCAATACCCTTAAAACAGATATTTTACTGCAATTACAGCAGCAGCTCTTTTGGGGTCAAAATGTTAAGGGTTAAAAAAACTGTCAGACTCGACATTTATCCATTCTACTCCATATGATCTAGAATATAATGCATAGAATGGGTAAATATCTGAAAGGAAAAAAGAAAACGAGCAAAAAGGTCCAAAAAAAAAACGCAAGTGAAACCAGGTTAGAGAGGGTGAAAGGGAAGCTGTGAAGAAAGATCCATGGAGACGAGATGATGCTGAGACATGTTTGATTTTATCATAACAGTTAAAGGTAGCTTTTGGAAGAACGAAGCACTTTTCTACACTCAGTGATTATATATGCCAGATAAAGAAGGATGACAGATGGAAATCATCACATCTACAGCTTGCTCAGAATCAGACATTTGAAATGTCACATGTGGACATTTAAAACACTTTTCTCTGGCATTATTCTAGAGATTCGTTTTGAAAGTGTTTTCAAAAATTAGGATAATACATTTTGCTGTTTCTCAGTCCAATCTGATTAAATTCTCTGAAACCATGATTTTTTAAATGTTTTTCTTTTTCTTTTTTTTTAAACACATTTTTTTTGTTTTTGCTGCATGTTTTCCAAAATATGCAATACTAACCCCCCTCTAGACAGCACAATGGCGTGTTACAGCATAGAGTGCACCTGGTAGAGATTACACTGCAGGGGTGGGAGATATCCAAACAGAGCAGCAGAGGCTTGCTGGCTCACTGTGTTCCAGCCAATTATTTGGTCCTGTGTCGTCCCACTGTCCTGTGTTCTGTTTGACAGTAAAGCCCAGCGCCTAGTCTCTGTCTGCAGAGTGTGGAAAACATGGACTTGTGTTGAAAGATGAAAAGGATCCGGTGTTATTTCTGTTCTCGCTGACTTGTGAGGAAGTTTCCTTGGTGATTTAGCCAGAGGAAGGACTGTGTCAGCAGAGATAGTCTTTAATTTTACCTTCATCCAAACTTATTTCCCTCACAGACTTCCAGTTTAACTATTAAATTATATTCCCTTCAAAATAAAAGAGAAAACAAATAAATTAAATGCCAGACTTTTATGCATTCTTATTCTGTTTGCAACTCAGAACAGAATAAGATGATTAGATGATAATAAGATGATTTAAAATGGTAAATTTTAATGACATGTTTCATCTGAATGGAAACAATGTTCTGCTGAGTAATATGTGAAGGGAGAAACAGGTTAAGGTGATGGCAAAGAGGCTTTCGGGATGTTTTTCAATATAAACATCTTGTTAGAATAAAAATCAAATCGCATGGAAAAGTTGGCTTTTGATAAAGTTTGTTCCTGGCGAAGATTCTCAGTCATCCAGATCATAGTGATTCCAAAAAAGTAAAAAAAACAATCCAATGGACCTCGTTTCCAAGTTTGAAGACGTTTCGCTTCCCATCCAGGAAGCTTTTTAATTCAAAATGTCAGAAATAGCGTTGAGTTTTAGGCTTTATAGAGTGGACCAAAAACAAAACCTTTTTTTGTCTTAGGAAACATACAAATTGAACCGGACGAACTGGTCCACCCCTTTGGGATTGGCAGTCGTTTGGGTTCTTCGTTAGCCTGCGATACCCAATACCGGTCTATGTCTCTGAAAGGGGGGTCGTTAGAGGAAATTGTTGGCCTGGCTTAAGAGGAGTAGGCGTATGTAGGGTTTTCAAAGTTGAAACCTGAGTTCCTGCACTTAGGTTAAAGTTAGTTATGAAATAATAGATAAATTAGCTTAAAACTGTGAAGTAGGTATGGGGTGTATTTAAAATGGATGCATTGACAAAAGATTAAAGATAATTTCTGGTTTGATCATTTTTTAACGTTTTTGATAAGCTGATTCTAAGTTTGATTTCTGAAACTTTCTTTCCCGCAACAATTAGGCTATATATAAAGATGTAGATCTGTACTTTCAGTGTGAGCTTTCCAAAAGGCAGACAATATTTCCAAGTCATAGAATTTACTATGACTGAGTCTGATTATCCAAAGGGATACAACTCAATTCAGTTTTCCTGTAATCTTATTTAAAGGTATAGTGGAGGATGCTCGTGAATTTTTGAAAAGACCTGACCTTCACTCTAAAAAGAAAATACACCTGCACAACCCTGAGCTTTTGCACGCCTATTAAACACATGACAGAGCGTGTATGAGAAGAAATGGCCTTGTGCATGCTCTGTTTAAAAGTTGCAGTTTGCATCGCTAATACAAGCTTAACTGTCCAAAAGAAGATCTGCAATTTTTCCACTCTGTCAGACTCACTGTCTGTAAGTGAGAATGGGGACGAGCACATACGTAAACATATCACCAGAATGATTGACAATTAGGAGGAACCACTTATTTTGATGATCCACCCAGAAAAAGAACATCCTCCACTATAACTTTCAGTCTATATTTTCCTTGGCTCCCTAACAGCCTCATTGAACTACAGATTTCTTGGGCACATCATAAAAATATTGTTTCCCTTGAACAGTCTCCAAACTTCCTCTGACTACATTTTTAACCCTTTACCCGATACAGTACACAGACAACTTGTTGTCTTCTTCCCACACTGACTACTTCCACACCAAAGAGAGTTATCAGCTCGATGTGGTAGCACCTCAGAATGTCTTTTTTTTTCAGGAGCAACTTTCACTAAAATCCCATGTATATTTTCAGCAATTGTCTGTGGATGTTCAAGAATGTTGAAGCAACTTTGACAAAGCGCTAAGGAAGATTAGAAAACATTTTTTTGGTATTAGGACTTATGATCTTGATACACCCTAAGGATTCACCCTACTGAGAACCTCTGGTCAATTTATTTAAGAGCTTGAAGCATGAAGAAGAAGACAACCATGATCATCTTTAAGCACTTAGAAGATTGGAATTGGTCGCACTAAGTCAAGATTTGGTCCAAAAGTTTATAGCATGTTAGTGAGAGCTATAAATGTTCTGAATCAGGAATCCCAACTCCAAATTTCGGAATATTTGCAAAAACAACTTTTTTATATTATAAAAGAAATAAAAACTGAAGTACCAGGATGGTTTATTGAGTCATGAAGTAAACTTACCCAGAAGTAATCACAGTAACTCCATTCGTCTGGTTTCAGCAGTTGCTGCTCGGCCATAAAGACGGGGGACGGGAACGTCACACAGTTGATCTGTGGGATGGAAACGAGGTGGAGTCAGCCAGATCCTTTCACCATGGTTTGTTAAAAGGGTTAAATCACTGGCCTGGATGGACAGCTCTTATATATCATACAGATGTATTACACACAGAATAATAAACTGGAAACATTTATTCATTTTAGTTTGAATTATTGTCTTAAAACTAATAAAAAAAAAAACAAATTAACTTTAAAAAAAAGTTACAACATCAAATCAGACCAAAGTAACTAATAAAGTAAAGTCGGCCTCCTCTATTCACAAGGTTTAGTTCTTAGCCAGGATTTTTTTAAATAAATGCCTCGATTCAGTGTTTTATGTAGACGCTCAGCTTATGTCTCTGCTGAGTTGTTCAGCTCAGGTTTTCAGCATTTATAGCTCTGGTTTCTGTCGTCTCTCTTTATAAAAAACAGCCCATAGAGATTTAGGTTAGGGCCATTTTTCTGACCCATCAAAATGCCAGAACCCTCATGACGACAGGTAAAGGTATTTTTGGCAGGCTGAGGTGTTCAGAGGGCTGCCGCAGCCGAACACGGCTTCTTATTTTACAGTACTCTATAGCTGTTGACTTGTGAAAGTTGCTATATTAACTTTTATTAAATTGTTCCTATATTAAGTTAACTGACAAACCTACTTGAATTTCTGGTTAATATGCTTGGATACAGCCATTGTCTTACTATACCAATCAGCATCCTGGAGTCCCAAATATTGCAGACTTTACAGCAGTACATTTTGTTAATTAATAGTAGCCTACTTCATGTGGTCAAATAGGATCTATTAATTGTAAGGGTGATGATAGAGAAAACAGATTAAGATTTTAGTTAATTCCTTTTTCTAACAAGGTGAAAGCTATCTTAACAAAGGGCTTGGGAGTTTTTTTTTCATAACCATTTAAATCAAACCTACATAGTTTTTTCTGTATTAACTCAGGTTATCTCTGTTAAAAAAGGAGACAGAACAAATACTTTTGCACATCACTGTACAGAGAGTTAGGATTTGTTGATATAATTCAATTTAAACTTCAATTTGTTTTTTATATATGAAAACTCAAACATGTTGATAGTATTGCTTATTGTTTCTGCCACATGTGACACAAACGTAGATGTTACTTTTGATTATTGATTCATCTGAACATGTCATGTGATATATGTATGGAGATAGCATAAAAATGTGATTAAATATTAAATGGATTGAATGTCTTTTTTCGAAGCGATAACCTTGAAATACGATTTATCTGCGTTTCGACAGGACTTCTCCATTTGTCAACAGGCAGCGGGGTTCACTCTCCGTACGCAAAATCAAGCTTTTTCCCCTAGTGATGTAATCCAATCTTCCAAAACGCCATCAACTGCATTAACACCTCAACCCTGGCTACCCTCACCATCTTTAACAACACTGTCTAATGTGGATAACAACCGCTTTTTTCTCGAGACCTGGTGGTCCTCACATGTATACTGTACCTGCAACACCTCCCCTTATTTCATGAGAAAAGTCATTTTTCATTGTTCAGTTTGGCGCTCTTCATTTGGAACCATTAAGAGGTTCCAGAAGGTTTTTACTAAATGAGCACTGAAAATTTAGAATGCCATGACTGGTACCATGCATAATGTAGAGAAATTTAACCTTTTATTTGACTTCTATAAAAACCAGAATCCAGTTATTTTTTGTGTGCAAAACCTATTTTCACATTCAAATTAACATTTAGGTACAACATATGAAGGAGCAGTTTTTTTTCTTCCATATTTTCATTTATATTTTCCTGTTTAGGGTGTTTCTACTGTTGGATGACTCAGGATCTGCAGTTCAGGCTTGATAGTCTTAAAGCTACAGTGTGTAATAATTACAGGCATATAAAGTCAGAAATTTAATATATTATACATAACTATGTTATTTATCATCACCTATGAGCTCAGCCTTTTAACCATAATATTTGCGTTGCCTTAGAATTCGTTATTTATAATTACATAGGAGCGGGTCTCGCAGCCATGGAGGCTGACATCTTTGCGCTACGGCAAGCGCAGAGGCAACAAACTAGCGATTGCGAGATCTCCCATGACGCTCAAAAATAACTACGGCAAGTTGAGAGAGATTAACTGAGACGGTACTGAACAGTAGATGGCAGTATTATGCCTGAGAAGCGTTTAGTCTGCCTGAAACCAAAGAAGAAGAAGAAGCAGGTATACTGCGCCTCAGTAACAAGAAAGGTGAACAAGGCGGCAGGCGTGAGTGACTTTGCAAACTGTTTGGCACTGTGTGGCCAAACATCAGACGAATGGAGGATCATGCCTACTCTGTATCACAACGAAAAGCGGCGGACACCGAACCCCCGTCATCTAAGAAGCGGAAACACGACGAGAATAAACGCAAGCGTGACAAGAAACGGCAAAAAACACGGATCAACATTGGCACGGCATTTACACGATGGAAGGCACTGATGGAGGAAAAAGGTTTTCAAAGTGACGCTCAAGTTGCCAGTTTTCTCTTGGACAGGTAATTAATCCTACACACACAATTGTCTAATATCACTGCAGTTTTTGGAGTACAGGATGCTCAGACCTGTCTAAAACAATAACATGCTGCGTGATGATGCTGTTACTCTCCAGTATACTTATTCAGCAACGTCCCTGACGTTTCACAGGTAATGATTCAGTAATTTTCTGTAAAATAATTTTCTGGATATATACCTCGGTTACTTCTCTCCGGCTCCTTTGGAGATCTTCAAGCCTTTCCTCCTCTGCTCTCACCCCGCTGGCTCCCCTCTCTCGCCTGGCCCTAGCTGCACGCCCTCTTCCTTTCCCTCTCCCTCGCGTTGTAACCCCCGTGCCACCAAAATGACTTGGACTCTGTAAACGGGGGATATATATTCTTCCAGCGAACACAATCTCGCTGTTAAACTAATGACTACAATTACTCCGTCTGTTTATATCACCATGCAAAGCAGCTCACCAAGACGTCACAACGATGTAGAAAAAATAACGGGTATATTTATTATCTTAAGTCTACATGAAATCTATACCCTACACAGACTAATGAAATACTATCTGTAAAATTATCTATGTAAACAAACCTCATCACTTGAGAGGGTAGGTGATGTGGACGTCGTAGAAGAAATTTTGTCCCGTAACGCTCGCCGTACTGTTGGGGGGGAGAAGCGGTGGGGGGGAGATGTTCATGTTGCTGCGGTCTGTAGTCTGACCGCTAGATGTCGCTGAAAATTACACACTTTAGCTTTAAGACTTTTTTGTGCCCAGAGGATAGAAGGTTCACCAAGGAAAATCCCTCTCTGTGTCTCCCTGTAGATACGGTAGCCCCTCATGGAAAGTTCAGTTTTCTTTTCAAGGACAGAGAGCTGATGTGATGAGCGAAAACAGGCAGAAAGCCACAGCTTGTCTTTTTCACTGCAAAAGAATTGTTGTGAGGCATCTGCAGGCTTTCTTCCCCTCAGCCCATTATGATTTATAATGTGACTAATGGTGTAATCAGTCACATTATAAATCCTAATCTGTCATCAGCGTTATTCATCTGATCCACCTGTGGATACAATTTCCCATGATTATCTTTACTTTATCAGATGCGAACGCTATACAGGTGTACAGCCATGGGACTTAGAATATGGATACAGCTTCGTACAGAAGCTTGCATTAACTATAGTGCAAAATAAAAAAAGCCTCATCTTCTGTTCATTAACTTAGGAATCTAGAAGTTCGGGCCGATGGCGAAGACAGGTCATATCTGGAATATTCAATCAGTAAAAATAAGTAACCTGACCTTGACTAATTTTTAAATCTTGGTTTTATAAAAGACATCTTCTTTTTTTTTTTTTTTTTTACAAAACTAGCACAAAAAATGCAAAAATGTATATCTAAGTAAGACATTATTTTCTTAATATAAGTGCATTTTTTCTTGAATTGAGCAGGTTAGCGAGACAATTTCCAAATAGAATAAGACAAATTATATTTAAAATAAGAAAAAAAAAACTGCAGTCTCTTATTTTAAGTGCATATTATCTAATGTTCTTATTTTCAGGGTAAAAAATGCTCATTCCATTGGCAGATCATCTTATTTTCCTACTCAAATTAAGCTTAAATATACTTATTTTAAGAATTTTATTCTCATTTTCATAACGTTTTTGCAGTGTAGTCAGACACACAGGAAACACTGTCACATGCACTGCAAAAACGATCTGAAAATAAGTAAAAATTTCTCAAATCAAGTGTATTTACCCTTAGATTGAGCAGGTAAATAAGATAGTTTGCAAATGGAATGAGTATTTTTACACTTGAAATAAGATAATTAGATAATATGCACTTGAAATAAGACTAAGCAATAGTTTTTTCTTATTTCAAATAAAAATTGTCTTGTTCCATTGGCAAAGTGTCTCACTTACCTCCTTAATTCAAGAAAAAATGCACTTATTTTAAGAAAAAACTACTTATTTAGATTTACATTTTTGCAGTGTGGTGATAGTTATTCAACAAAACGGTTCTAAACCAACATTTTGAAGCAGCACTAAAACAAAAAAAGTCCTGTCTCCGTTGTCTCCGTTTCTGCTATCTGGGTTACATTACAAACGATAAAAAACTGGAAACAACAGCTACAGACATGAAGCATTTTTATATCGACCACATGGACATTATTTGCTTCATTTTTTTACTCAAAAAACTATAATAAACAGCCCAAAGTCTGAAATTATACATCTGTAGTGCTATAGGTCACAGTTCACCTTATTGTGTATATGCTTCTCAGTTTTTTTATTTTTACCCGACATCGTAAAGGAAGCGTGGGTTGCATTAATTAGCACTGTTTGATCAAACTGCTAAATAAGCCTCCACAGTAAAATTTGAGATTACTTGTAATTTCCCATGAAATCATTGATATTCTGACAGTAGGGCTGTTTAAAAAGCTCATTCTTATGTCTTAGGCTTGCATCGGCTACATGCTAAGAAAAATTCAGTCCATATGTGGGAACAGTCATCTGGCGATTTCACAGTCACCA